GCTGGCAGATAGTTAAAATTTTTCTTTAGTCATTCGGGTATCAAAAATGGCTCCTCTTTCTCAGGAATGCACCAGATCTCAAGACTTCCTTAGTGTTTAGGCTCAATTAATGTTTGCTGTGCAATGGTCTCAAAATAAAAATGTACAGAAGTGAGAAATGCATCAACGGTAAATGTTTTTATAACAATTGTAAATATTCTCTTGAAAGTACCGGCTCAAATTTCTGTTAATTAACATTCACTCTACAATCTTTGATAGAGTAGTTTGTAAGGTCTGTTATAAAAGTCATTTTTTTAACGTTTTAAACATTCCTTTGCGCGTCAAACAACATCGAATTGTAGATAAATGCTAATTTAACGGTACTTTCAAGAGAATACTTACAATTGTTAAAAAAACATTACCGCTGATGCATTTCTCACTTCTGTACATTTTTATTTTGAGACCATTGCACAGCAAACATTAATTGAGCCTAAACACTAAGGAAGTCTTGAAATCTGATGCATTTCCTGAGAAAGAAGAGCCAATTTTGATACACAAATGACTGAAGAAAAATTTTAACTATCAGCCAGTAGGGTTTTTATCCAACATTTTGACAAATCGTTCAGTCCCTGTTATAAAAAAAAGACTTTAGGTCTAAAGTGCCTGTTTTTGGAGTTTTTAAAAAAAATATGGGGAGGCAAACGAAATTCGCTCGAAAAAAGCAATATTATACAGTAATTCCCATCAAGTGACTGGCTTCGCCGCATTCGCTCTGCACACACATTTTATAAATACTCCCTCGAGAGAGAAATTTTTTATAAAGGTGGCCGAGATATGAGCAAAATAGTAAGTGTCCTAAACTTTTGCTGCCTACTGTATGAAAGTTTGTCAGCGTAGACTGTGATCTGCATATCATTTTCAAAACCGAATGAGTAGAGCAAAGGAACTTTTTTTTGTGAGCAATAAGATGTGTTTATTCTCATTCGTTTCACTTGAACGATTTCTGTATTCATTTCGACTTTGTACATCTAAGGAGAAAAAGAATGTATCAGAACAAAAAAACTACACCGTAATCAAGCCACTCATCAAGTAAGTGTGTAGAAATATTAGAAACTATCATGAGCGTTTTTTCAAACGCTGAAGTAGCAGAAGGCGATGCCAAGTTCTTCCCAAAGCTACTTTTCATTATAATTCTCTATCTTTCCATCGGAGGAATCATGTTTGGCATCGATCCCTGGTTGATGCATTCAAACGTCCGATGTGAGATTGATGTGTGGACTGTCGTTGCGAAAACGGCTGACTCATGCGAGAGAGACCAGCGCTAGTATTCATCGATCTTGGTGGAGCGACAGTCGATGCCATTGAACTGACCACCGAACGTCTCTACAGATAGATCGCTGATGGCCTGAGATAGATTATTCATTATTTGTTGCTCTTTCACCGCCACTGCTTCTTCCTCTCGCTCGAATGAGTCCGCAAATCGGGCTCGCTTTGAACGTGACGAGGCCGCCGATTCGATGCGTTCAGAGTTCACGCGTTTCTGTCGATTCGCCATACTGTATTTGGAAATACAACCAGATCAATCACACGAGAAACAGTCGGCAGATGAATGTGATGTGCACCAATGAGGGTCACCGTGAAGGAAAGCGCCCGTGAAATCTGAAATGGTCTCCAAACAGTCAACTGTTCATTACGTAGACCCTCAGAAATTAGGACAACGGAGTATGAACGCATGACATAATGCATTTATCAGTTTCACTCATCCGAAAGCTTCGTTGTTCACCGATCTGTGAAGAGAGGGAAGAACCATCGCTAGCGATGGGGATAGTCGAGATCAGAAGGATGAACAAAGAGAGTGAATTCAACATTTGTGTTTGCACAAATCGCCTCCACAGCAATGGTTACGAAATCCGTAGGAGCTCTGAAGCTAGACCAATGAGATATTCCTGTTGAAAGGAATCAGAACTCACCGCCATCTCTACCGCAACGGAAACCCTCAGCTGGCAACTGATTCATTCACTCGGCCAAAATAATTGCGAGACGAAACCACGTTGGTGTACTCGACGCACTAGCCTTTAACGCCATCTATCCAACGATTCAAAGAACCCATTTTCCTTCTATATGCGTCGTGACTTGACCACATCTTCTTCAGACCGGCAAAATCATGGACACATCTTTTTCACCGTCGTTCGTCCAATCCGCGCTATTCTCCACACCAGCATAATCCAGATCGTAGCGAGCACTCGATTTCAGAAGTTGTGCTCGTCGAGTTCTTTTCGATACTTTCACTGTCTTGCACTGATTCAGCCTGTTGCGTCTCGTGACCGACTGATTCGATCGACTCTCTTTTCGGGGTAAGGAGATCGAGACGACAGGATCGTTCGTTGGGTAAGTTCACGAGTGTGTTACACTTGTGCGGTTTGTTGCGAGAGGAGTTTCCGTGCTGTCGTGGGTTTGTCTCCGTGTGATTCAGATTGATTCGTCGGGTAGCGTCGAATCTGGCGTGCCAAGGTCAATTGAGATCCTCTTTGCTGTTTGGTGAATTCGCGATGATCGGCGCTGTTCATTAGTGTCTGAGATGATCAAGTCAGAAGCGAAATCGAAGGTGCAATCTTTGCTTTTTCTTTTGTTCAAAATAGTTATAGAATACTAGGTGTCTTAACGCAGAATTTATGGCTGTTTCGGCATCTATGCATCCAAAGACGCCCAGTTTCTATGCGCATTCAGAGACGTTTTCGCGAATTGTCTATCTGCTTGCGCAGTAACGTAGTTGCAATATTTCTTCTTCTGTTCTCCAAAGTTTTTATTACGCTTTCAACACAAACAATAAAGAAAAACGAAGGAAAAGAACATCCTCTCAACGTTTTTCAGTATAGAAAGGAGTGCTCTTTTCCTTCGTATTACAGAACAGTTTCGAAACTGAAACGAAACAGAGTTCATTTCCAGTGCCAAGCGTAACTTTGGACACAGAATCTGAATCATGTCGGCTCGCATTTCTACTAATGATAGTGAACTTGTATTAGCCGCAGCACTCTCAACAATGCTCGGCAAAGCAATTCTGCCGCAGTCAAAATGACCGCAACAGACACAACATATAAACAAAATATCTTTATTTGATCAATATCTAACATCGTTTGTCTATGGTAAAGTGGGAGCAAATGACTCAGCTAGTAAGGACTCACTCATATCAATACACCTTAGAATTCTAGCATCACAAACTACGTTCACGTGTGAAATTCAGCGTGATGTAAGTGTCAATAAACGAAAACACCTTATTTATGAAAAGGGCGGTATATTGTGTAATTAATATCTTCGATTTTGCTCTAGCATAACTTTCTGTTTCTCTCTCTCTCTGACTGTGAAAAAGTAAAGTAGCTTTCAAAAGCTGAATCGTTCTGATTGTAAATGAATGAACGAATAGATAATAATAGCGAGATGATGGTGATAATGATTATTATTTTTCTTGTAGACGGAGTAGAACAATATATTTTGACGCGTTTCGGTGACAATGCACCTTAATCATAAATATATTTAAATTTACGAAAATCTACAAGAAAAAAACAATGAAATGAAAAAACGAGCGTTTCTTTACGATCAAATATGCTAAAAGAAAAAAGAACACAATTAAAAAGATACTGTAAACATTATGGTTCTTTAAAACGATTTTCAGATATTGAGCTATCAATTGGTAGTTTGGACGGTATTTTCTGATGTATTCATTTATTATAAATATTTGTTCTAATTCATTTTCAGTAATTTTGATCTTGGTGATGATGCTGGTAATTGTTCATTTATATCTAGTGTACCATCAGTATTCAATAAACGTTTAGGCCAGGATGTGCTTTACTGATATTTGATCGATTCAAATTTTTAAACACTCGATGACTTCGTAATTGTCTAAATCTTTTATAAAAGCAAATAAAAACAAGTAGTAATATAATAAGTCCAACACCAAATGTAACGGTAATTGTTACCAATACAACATGTGTCCACGATTGTCCATTTAACTGTTTACGATCTAGATTAGTAGTTTCCATATGATTGTTGTGTGATCTTTCCAATACCGAAATCGAATTTCTGACTTCGCTGTTATTAAATGCACATGTGTAATCAGATAGTAAGTATGAAACGGCAACAGTAGGAACATAGCAATTCGATGGTGATGTTGCTTTCAATAAACCACGATAATATGATAAAAACGATGAATATGAAAACATAGTGATTGTTTCGCTGTATATATAGTATAGAAGAAATGCAACGAAGCCAGAACAAAAAATACTTTTCTTTCTTTTAATTTCATAGAATTCAACACCTCTTTGTTTCTATTTAAAGAAAGGAAGAGGATTGGAATGGTGATATGTAACGATAACTGATAGTAACAGTAAATGATGAAAAACTGATTGGAATGATATTATGTAACAATATATTAATACAGTAATACGTCCTCTTTTTCCTTCGCACTTCTTTTATAAAGTCCGTTCACATGAGAAAAAGGAAGGAGGAAGAGAAAAGCATAAAGCACTTAATTATCATTATTGATGAATGGTTTTAAGATACTGATCCAATATTTTTCTCGATCTAATCTATGTTTATCATTAATATAATTGATTTCGATTATAATAATTTTGATATTTTGTAGTGTGTGATGTGCAGGTTAAAATGTTTAACGCAGTTTGTATCGGTATAAATTTCATTTCTGATCGATGTTTTGTGCCGATTAAAACGTTTTCGAAGATTTATCAAATAACATAGGTTTGACGTTGAACAATCGACTGTGAAAGGTATCGAATATATTTAATTAGTTGTTGTTGATATAAAATATGATAATTCAGTAATAAATGGACATCTCTCTCTCTCTTTCTCTCTTTCTAATTATAACTAACGTCAGTAGTAGCAATAGCAAATGTTTTTTATCCGTATGACTGTATTTATTTCATTAAGATATATGCATGGTAGCATATAATCCGCTTTATCATTTCTACGGGAAACGTGGATACGTGTTCAGAATAACGAATAAATGACTAACATGCGCTGCCTTTAGATCGAAGTGTGAGCGAAAAATAGTTGGATATACATTTTTCAATATCTTCATCTCCAAAACTTTGAATTTGAATTTGAGCATCATATTGAAAATCATGTGTTTCATATGATCGAGATGTTAGAAGCAGACGGAGTTTAGCTAATAATTCTTGTTCAATCGAATGTAAATATCTTGGAACTGTTCGTTCATCGCATCCATCAAGAATCCAAAGAATATTTGATAAATGTTCAAGGAGATTTGTTAATTTTTGTTTATCTAAATCATCAAATGTGCAATTTTGAAAACATTATTTCTTGATAATATCGATCAAAGAATACTTTTCGGCCTTTCTTGGATAGAGTTCTGAATTTAAATTTCACATTTTAATATAGAATAACCATTGGAACCGACTTCGCCAGATTTTCCCAACAGAAAATTTTTCCGAAATGCTTTATAGTTTGATGCGACACAATTCGATCATCGATGATTACTAGAAAAGTAGAACCTGTTTTAGTGATGGAAAAACAACATGTGCCATCATATCTGATGTAAAGCAGGCCTGATGATGATGGATCTTGACAATAATGCTGACTGGTCAACGACAAATACAATAGAAAATGAAAATGATACGTATAATCAGTCTTTATGATGAGAGAACGAGCTATAAAACAATTGAGTCACAAGAGGAAATCCACTCCCG